TTTTTTTTTTTTTTTTTTTTTTTTTTTTTTTTTTTTTTAGTAGCAATAGACATACATATTTCTGGTCATATATCAAGTTGTAGAAGTTTTCCTTTTCTAAAAAAAAAATGTTTTATTGATGTATAATTTAGCACTGATTGTAAGAGTTGTTATGGGCAGCAAAACAACCTTGCAGTGCCTTCCATCTGGGTCATTAGACTTGGCCTTCCTATGACAATGATGATTTTCTCTGACTTTGATCTCTTAAAAGGATAACTGCTTTGATATCAATATATGTCATCTAAGAGTTGCTTCACAGAAAATAAAATACAGTAAAATTAGGCACCATGTGGAGAATAACTTAACTCTTAGCTATTCAGAGCTCTGAATTCTAAGAAGATAAATTAAAAAGAGAGAATGTAAGGTACAATACCTAAAAAGCCAAGAAAGGTTCCTCTTCTTGCTCTGTTTAAACCATAATTCAATGCAGTTAAATCAAGTTTTTTATGTACCAAAGGCTGAAACTACTATATTGAAAATGATATATTTTCATGGGTATTTTGCCATAAACCTTCTCATGTGCATATTTGATATGAGTTCTGGGGAATGCTGTGATACAGATCTTTCCAAACCAGAAGAACTAAAAATAGAAATATGGTTTCACTGTTTGGTTCAGTTGCACTGAAAAGTGCAAATACAAAGAAGTTAATACATATTACAAACATCCAGGAATACTCTTTTCCTCAGTTCATCCTGCAAACAGCATATTCTCCAGTCAAATGAAACAAATCCTCATTGAGCAGCCACTGAAAAGATCTATTTTTTTAATCTCAGTAGATGCTAAGTCTGGCCTGATGGGAACAGGTAATGTTCTGAACAGCAGATCCCTCCTGCTGGAGGTTTGCAAGGGGCCTGTCAGGGGGGAAGGGAGATCCCATAGCCAAACACAGAAACATTGTACTGGGACTCTCTAAGGCAAAGATGCTCTCCCCACATGTAGATTTTGGAAATTAGAAATTAATTTGGTACACGTCACATCATTCCTATGCTTTCTGCTCAGTCTTTGAACTAGCACAAAGCAAGAAGGAAAGTTTATGGTACAGGAGTTGGAAATGAGACTCAACAACCTGTTCTCCAAAATAGCTACCTAGGTGGCTTCACAGTGAAAAGCCTGGCATGTTCCCCCAAAGCATACAATTCTCCAGTAATCAATGCTGTGACATTTTCACATGACACCTCATGGTTTTTAGTGAAATATACAGCTGTTAAACACACTTCAGAATTCTTTGGCATTTAGACATGTGGGAATAGTCCATTCTAGGGAACCTCTTCCCTGTATTGTTCTTTGTGTCTTGCACAAACTGTTGCAGCCAAGTGATCCCCATTAATGTCAAAAGAGTGCACCCACTACAAAAATGCAAATAATAAAATAGCGACTTGGCTAGAATAATAAGATGTTCAGATTACTTTTAGATATGAGCCTCAACATTATTTTGACAATAGAAGTATTTTGGAGTCCTTACACTAACTTATGAAGAACTTTATAGCTACAGATACACACATATATTAATCTTTCAAACTCCAATGGCCAAACTAGCATACAGTCACTGAACCTATAAGAAGCAAAGGCACTTGAACCCAATCATCTGCTAATAAATGATTTAAAAACCTCTCTACAAATAGCTCTGTATAACTAATAGAATTGCAGTATGGGATTTAGCTGTAATGATTACATTTGTTTTACTTGCAGAGACACAATGTGACAATAGCTCAAATTAAGTGACCTAAGATGGCCTCATCTAAGCCTATAAAATCATAATAATTAGTTATAACATAAAATAAATTAATTATTCCTTCAGTATAGCCTATTTTGATGCATTTCAACCAATGAAGAAATGCGACCAATTTGTATGATTTCATCATTAATAATACCATTTGGGGTTGCAAAAGTTTGATTATGGTGGTTACATTTCTGGGAAGATCATTCTGTCAGTTATTTTAATTATAAGCTAATGTATCGGTGGTTTTCCGAAACTTTAGTTAGCAGCAAAAGGATATACTGTGTATTTCAAATGTCAAAGAAGATGAATCTCTGCTTTAAGTTGCAAACATACCCATTTTAAGAGGCAGAAAGGAAGAGATGCTTAAAGGAAATAGAGCAGTTCCCAACAGCAACCTGGAAAGAGAAAAAATGGAGTTGTGAAGGAAAGTGAGGTGAAAAAAGGGAAGAAGGATAAATTAAAACTGAAAGGATGCCTCTGAGTAGAAGTACTGGACTGGTACCTTAGTGAGATTCAAATCAGATCAGTTAGTCAAAAGGGTCTAGCAGGAGACCACCGCATGCTGCACAGAGCCTTTACTCTGTCAGAGATGTCAGATTCCCTCCAAAAACCGTAACAGCTTCGAGGGAACTAACTCCATCAGCATACTGCAGCAAGAGCACAGATTTACCCGGAGAAACACTCAAAATCTAGGAAAACACGGCCAAAAGACACAGAGCGAGAGCTGACTGAAGAGGTGAGCGAGCTCTTGCCTATCCTTCCTCGGAAGACTAACGTACAGTTATTATCTAGGACGCTTGCTATTGTGTGTTACGTGGTGTTGCTGCACCGAGGTATTGACGGTGGAGACAGCATAATGAGGAAAGTAGCAATTTACAGCAGAACGGGTAATTACCAGGATCACCCGTACTAGCGATGGCCCTGCCCCAAGCCGCTTGCAGGGCAGGCGCAGGGACCCGCTGGTGCTGCCGCGGCAGGTGGTTACCTCTCGCCTGCTTTCCAGGCTGGGCCGCCCCAGGTGAGCGCTGTGAAGCTCGCAGGGCGGGTGGGCGGACGGCCCGCAGCGCCTCGCGGGGCCGGGATGGCTACGTGGGCACCGCTACCGCGCAGCCCCGCGTCAGTTACTGCGGAGCTCCCCCCCGGGGCACCGATCCCTTGGCGGCAGTCACGGCCAGGCCAGCGAGCGAACCGCGAACCGCTAAGGACAGCGGGGGGTCCCCCCCC